CAAAGTGGACAGCTTAAAGCGGTCGCTGGAGACGCACCAGCAGCGTGCGGCCGTCACGCCACCCGGTGCGGGGGCTAGGCTGGGCCAGAGCGTGTACCGTCAGGCACCGCAGCACAGAGGCAGCTTGGGCATGCAGCGCATGCAAATGCATGAGCTCGGCGCGTCGAACTTCGGCATGGGTGCGCAGACGCCTGGGGGTGTATGGTGGTCTTGGTGCTGGGCAACAAGCAGGAGGCACACCGTTCCAGGCCCAAGAAGCAGCTCAACAGGCGCCACAGCAACAGTAACCAGCTGCGCAGTACCAAGCACATCGACCTTCACCGCTACATCTCAACGCGGGAGTGCCGCCTGCCAAGGATGCGAAGCTCTTCATGCGAAACTTCGACGGCAGCGAGGTCTACAAGGGACTTGGGAGCGGCTTCGAGCAGTGGGCGCTGCTGTTCATTGAGCAGATCGAGATGGCGGAGCAGGCGTGTGGCTACGCCTGGCCTGAGCGCTACAAGGTGAACAAGTTCGGCCAGCCTATTCTTCCAGCAGCACATCATGCGCCGGTGGGCCACGCAGCCGACGCACTGGTTTGTGATGGATCAGATGCACTTGTCGTTCAAGCGGGCGCTCTCGACGCAACAAGGAATGAAGCTCTTTGGCGCGAAGAAGGACCCGTCGCGATCGTGGAATGAACACTTCTTGTACTTGAATGCTCTCATGATGGCAACGAACGCGTCACCAACGCTAGTGCTGGAGAACATTGTCAAGGACGCGGATCCGGACTTGAGACACGCCTTGATGGCCAAGTGTGACATCACGCGGCCGGATCCTCTCCAACAAGCGAACGAACTGGTCGTTTGGGCGCAGATGATGACCGATGAAGATCGAGCGCCAAAGCATCTTGGTAAGGAAGTCGTGAACGCAGTTGCTGAGTCCCAAGAGGAAACGCGGCGATACCACAAGTGCAAGAAGGCTGGACACCTGAAGAAGAACTGTCCAGATCGTTCCGCTAGAAGCAACAATGACCAGCCAGTAAAGTTCGCACTTGCCGCCGGTAACGACCTCAAGTACGTGGACGCTACGAGCAGGATTCTGGACAGCGGTGCCAGCCGACATCTTGTCAACGTTCCTGCGCTACTGGCTAACATAGTGCAGTACTCTGGTGAGGACACCTGCATGTTACCGGATGGGCGAGCGATGGACGTAGCCAAGAAAGGATCGGTGGTTTTGAGAGCTATTGTCGACGGAGTCACGGCTGAGGTGGAGCTCAGTGAGGTCTACTACGCACCGAAACTCGCGCAGAATCTGATCTCATACGGACGGCCGATAGCGAAGGGATGCTCTCTCGCCAAGCGCAACGGATAGTTGGCGTTGATGAAAAGCAACGAAGTGGTATTCTATGTCTACGTAAAGCACAACGTGCTTGTGGCTAGACTTGAATCGGTAGCTACGAGCAATGCGAAGATGGAGGAGCTGATCATGAACGTGGTGGACACGAGTACGGACACAGCCTCGCCGGTCGTCGCCACGGACACGTTGATGGGCTTCCATGCACGTTTCGGTCACTTGTCATTGGACACCATTGCGCGTATGGCAACTGACCCCGCATCCGGCATCAAGATATCGAATCGTGACCGTAAGTCCTGCATGGTTTGTGCTGAGGGTAAACAGTCTCGAGCGAATCAACCGACTAAGGACACCGGGGAGCACGCACCGATCGACAAAGTCGGAGGAGTCATCTGCAGTGACCTGAAGGGTCCCATGACGCCACTTGACCGCCAAGGTAGCCGCTACATGATTAACTTCGTGGACCACAAGTCAAACTACTGCAAGGTGTTCATGGCGAAGAAGAAGAACCTGGCTGCAAAGAAGTTCGAGGACTTTCTTGTTGAGTTCGAAAAACGGTTCGACGTTCGCGTGCATGTTCTCCGCACGGACGGTGGAGGAGAGTACCGAAACGTGGATCTCTTCTGCAAAGAAAACGGAGTGGCTCGTCAGGTGTCAGAAGTCGGCAACCAAGCTGCAAACGGCAAGGCGGAGCGGATGCATCGCACGGTTCTCAACATGGCTCGGTGTATGGTGTTCGGTGCAGGATTGTTGCTGAGCTTTTGGGGTGACGCGGTTGAGTACGCGACGTACGTGCTGAACCGGAGCTCGTCACGCACTAACGAGGATCGGAAGTCGCCGCTCGAAGTGCTGGCTGGCGAAGCACCAAACCTTCGCGACATTGTCATGTTTGGATCAAAGTGCTCCGTGTTTCGTGACCCCAGAAAGCGCGCCATGAAGAAGAGGGCGTGTGAGGGCGTCGTCGAGGGGTACAAGGTGTACCTGCCTTGGGAGAACAAGCTGATCGTCACGAGGCATGTGCAGAACATCCGCGCGTTGGAGGAGAAATCCGATGTGAAGCCACCAACTGTTCAGGCTCCCACGACGACGACGCCACCGGCACCACGTTGCACACCACGAAGATCTCGTCGCTCACGCCGCAAGTCGCGCCGCCGTGCTGAAGCCGATGGAAACGTGGAGGTTGACGAGTCAAGGCTGAGCACTGAGCCTGTGGTTTTGACCGTATCCGAAGTTAAGGACGCCAATGCCCACGCTGATGACCCGGAACCGAAGAACTACAGGCAGGCGCGATAGTGCGCCGAGAGCGCGCTTTGGGAGGCAGCTGAAAAGGAAGAACTTGAAGCTCTACAGGCGAATAACACGTGGAAGCTGGTCAAGTCCGAGCCTGGTAGCATTCGCTTGCATACTAAGTGGGTGTACAAGAAGAAACGAACAGGCACGGGTTTGATCGAGCGGTACAAGGCTCGACTAGTCGCCTGTGGCAACGAGCAAAAGTTCGGCGTTAACTTTTTTCTCGTGTTTGCGGCTGTGATTACCATGGCTGGTGTCAAGTTCATCTTCGTCATTGCGATCATATGGCAGGTGCCTGCCAGACACGGCGACGTTCCAAACGCGTATGTAAAGGCGAAAACGGAGGAGGGTATCGAGATTTTGCTGTTCGTCCCCGACGGACTCGTTATTACGGAGGAAGAGCTGAAGAAGCTCGGAGCTGAGAGCGTGGATGAAGCTGGCCTACTTCTTGGTCAGAGCCTTTACGGTCTGAAAAAAGCAGGACGCCTTTGGCATGAGCACCTTCATCGCGAACTGGTCAAGCTTGGGTTCATCCAGTGCATTACGGACGCGTGCCTGTACTTCAAGACTGACAGCGGCGAAATGACGGTCGTCGGAACGTACGTGGATGACCTGCTGGTTACTGGCACGGACAAGAACAGGGTTTTTTAGTTCTTCGCTGACATGTCCGTCCTGGAGCTCAAGGATCTCGGTGCTGCCAGCAATTTGCTTGGTATGCGCGTGCAGTACGACGAGCTCAGTGGCTACAGATTTGACCAAGAGGCTGCAATCGTCGAGATGCTCACCAAGTTTGGGTTGGACAAAGGAAATTCGATGCGATCGCCGATCGGAGGAGAAGACGCGACAGATTCAGATTTGGCAGAACTACTTCCGCACACGGCAAAGGAGACCGCGTCAGCAGGACCAACGGTGACAAATTTCCAGTCACTGGCGGGGAGCTTGCTGTGGATTGCGAGATGCACGCGTCCTGACATTATGCTCGCTGTACACTGTGCAACACGACGGACTCATGCACCAACGATGGCGGATTGGAAGCTGGCTAAACGCATCGCCAGGTACCTGAGTGGCACCCGATCGCACAAGATGGATATGTCCGGCGACGACAATGCTAAAAGGCTACCACTACGATTGCGCTCGTATATGGACGCCGACTTTGCAGCCAACAAGAGCGACCGCAAGTCTGTGAGTGCGGCAATCATCCACGTAAACGGAATGACTGTGTCATGGCAGTGCAAGAAGCAGAGTTCTGTGGCACTATCGACCACCGAGGCGGAGTACGTCGCTGCGACAGTGAGTGCTCAGGAGCTACTCGGGCTGAAGGAGCTACTGGGTGAGCTGGATATCGCCACCAAGTTGCCTATGGCCATGCTGATGGACAACCAAGCGGCTATCGTGCAAGTGCAGAGCGAAACAAGCTCGGCCAAGGCGAAGCACGTGGACGTCAAGCTCAAGTTCATCCAAGACTGCGCCAAGAAGGGCATCGTGGCGCCAGAGTATGTGGCTAGCGCGGAAATGCTTGCCGACCTGCTGACGAAGGCGCTACCGGCGCCACGGGTGAAGGAGCTACGGGAGAAGATCGGACTCGTCGACATCGAGTGATTCAGGAACCCCGAGGCTCTGGGGAGGAGTGTTGGACATTGATGTAAGAGCCAGCCAACGGGCAGGTGACCGGAAGCCAGACCCCCAAGGACCTTTACGCAAGTGTCGAGTCGACGTACGACATTTTGACTTGGTTTCACTATTGGGACCAATTAGATTGAGTGTAGGCGCGTGTCTTTTCAGGTTATTGTGTAGTGTGCATGTAGAATCCAACTAAAACTCCTTTGAATATATTTCTCACTGTCACTTCAACCTTCTGCCGAGCAAGTGCCAAACCAACATCTGCCTCGACCCACACCTCACCGGCCTTGACAGCTCCGCTTACAGACTTTTTATAGTAATTAAGATCTACTATGAAATTGTTATTTTTGCACAATACTTAGCCGTCTTAAGTGTAAGAAAACTGAATATAGCTAGATATTCTAAAAAACAAATTCTAGGAGGAGTAAAGTGAGCTATATTTTTGTTACGTACGCCAAGTTTCTATCAGTTTATACCCATGCTAAACCTTTACTGCCGAGTGACACCTGTGAAGTTTGTACGAAACGGTAGGAAAATACGACATTCTCATTCGAAATTTGTATCATATCGATACCTACTATTGGTGTGTGACATAATTTTAATTTTAAAGTAATCCCTTAGGGCGGTAGGTACTACAGTACTACTCGTTGCACTACCAGGATTAATAGTACTAGTATTATAGCACTTGCACGTATTAAATACTTGCATGTCATGCGACTTTGTTGTCGCACTTGTCGAGCAGCGACATTTTACAATTATCGCTGGCTGGCTTGCCAGTTTTTCGCTTGATACACTGGCACATTCGCCTTTGGCAACGCAGGCTTACCCAGAATCATGTCAGCGGCCTTCTCGGCGATTATGATAACAGGCGCATTTGTGTTGCCGCTCACAATATTAGGCATGATAGAAGCGTCCACAACGCGAAGACCCTCCAGTCCATGGACACGAGTCTGAGGATCCACAACAGAGTTCTCATCCACGCCCATGCGAGCCGTACACGACACGTGGAACTCCGTGGCCGCGTATTTACGGGCCCACGCGTCGATCTGTTCGTCCGACTGGACACTTTCCTTCGGCGAAATACCCTTTCCGCAGAATTCCTTAAACGCGTTTTGGGCGAAGATCTCCCGCGTCAACTTGACGCCCTCTCGAAGCGTGACACGGCTCTCTTCTTCGGCCATGTACTTGGGGTCAATGATCGGGTGTTCGTAAGGGTTGTCGCAGCGTAACTTGATCGTGCCATTCTGAGAACTACGCATGAGCGAAATGTGCCCACTCATGGCATGACCAATCTCACGCAGCTGATAATGTTCGTCCACGGCGCTCGGACTGAATTGGATTTGCAGATCCGGCTGCGACTTACCTGGAGCACTATGGAAGAAAGAGTCAGCTACAGAGTAACAATGCAAACTTAAAACTACACCTTACGTGCGGATGAATCCGCCCACTTCGCAGTGTGGACTGGCACCTGGCCCAGTCTTGGAGGTAAACCACTCGTAGCCAATTTGGAGTACTTTACCAGGGAAGCGCTTTGTCGCGTGGTACAATGTGATAGAACATGGAAGACCACATCGGTCTCAACCTGCAGTTTGAGTGCAAGAAGCCTACAGCAGGGAGGTGCTGCACGAGAGGCACTCCGACTTTCCTGAAGTGATCCGCGTCACCAACACCTGACAGCAGGAGCAACTGAGGAGTGTTGATAGCTCCGCCCGAGAGGATAACCTCTTTGCGTGACAAGATCTTGGAAACCGCCTTCGTCTTGTTGCTTTCCACTTGAATACCGATCACTTTTCTGCCTTCGAATAATAATTTAGTCACAAAAGTATCCGGCACGACCGTCAGGTTATCACGATCCATTTTGGGATGGAGAAATGCTGCAGAGCTACTCCATCGTTTGCCCTCGTGGATTGTCAAGTCGTGCCAGCCCACACCTTCCTGTTGATACCCGTTCAGGTCTTCTGTAAATGGGTACCCAGCCTCGACACCAGCATCCAGAAATGCCTGGAAAAGTGGCTGGTCCTTCTGCGTATCTCTCACTACATGAAGGGGTCCATCGCCACCACGGTAGTCGTCTCCACCGAGCTGGTGATTCTGCGACCGCTTAAAGTACGGTAAGCACTTCGCATAGCTCCATCCCTCAGCACCGTTCGCCTCCCAGTCGTTGTAGTCCTTCGCATTGCCACGAGTGTACACCATGGCGTTAATAGACGAAGAGCCACCAAGCACTCGACCGCGTGGGAACCCGATGCGTCGGTTGTTCAAAAATCCCTGCGGCTCTGTGAAGTAGTTCCAGTTGTACCGTTCATCCGCGAGGTTGATCGGGACGGCAGCTGGCATCTCAATCAGGACGGAATCCCATCGATTGCGGTCGCTAGGACCAGCTTCCACCAGCAGCACCTTGTTGCTAGGATCGGCACCTAGTCGGTTGGCAAGCACACAGCCGGCGGATCCTGCGCCGACAATGACGTAGTCGTATTCACTCGACGTCGAAAAGGAAGCGATGCCTCTCGTTGTAGCCGGCAGGAGACCGTTGTGGCCATCTATAGCAGTTTTTCCATAACACAACGCGTGGCGAAGCATGATGGGCAGAGTTTAAGATATCATGGTGAAGGGAACGAAGTCAAAGAGATTCAAACGAGATTGTGATAAAGATTGTGATCACTGATCAGGGGTTCATATCATTGGCAGTTCATATCAGTTATTGTCCACTTCATTGATTTTGCGCGCTCTATTCGCTGTCTAAGTCGTTGTTGCTATTTACATAAATCGCTTTCCATAAAACGACCAACTCGTTGTTTTTTATTCAGACGAAAAGTTTCATCATCGAGAGCAACTAGAGAATGGAGGCTGCTCTACGCGAGCTTCGCCACGAGTGCGACGCAGAGGTGACTATTAAGATCGGAGAGCCTCTAACAGACTGTAGAGCGGTTCATGGATCGCGACGTGCTATGACTTTTTCGGTTGAAGAAGGGTACGCAGTACTTAAGGAGAAGCTGCGACTCTTGGTGAAGGACGACTCGGCTGTGACTTGGCCAGCGGATGCTGGTCTACATTAAAGCCACTGTGAACGCCCGACAAAGTGACTACAAGCGTCTACCCGAGGACGCAGAAGCGTTCTCACAGCTATTGCGGAAGGTGTGGGGTAGAAGAAAGAGTCCAAGCCAGCGGCTAGCTCTGTTCATGTACGTCAACCGGGTCAAAAAATCAAACCCAATCCATCGGGCAACAGCTGTCCGTATGGCCCAGGCCTCTCGCAATATAGCGGAGACCTTGAGAAGTGAAAACCGAGAGGCCCCAGGGCCAGCATCGCTCGAGTACTGGGCAACTGTACAAGCGCGGCAACATGACGATGCTCCAGTTGTTCAACCGAACAACGAGACCTTCCGTCAGCTAAACTACATTGACGCTCGCGCTCGACAACACCAGCACGAAGTTGCTGCAGCGACAAGCGCAGCAAATGCGGAGACTCGTCGTATCCATATCATGATTAACGGCGTGCTAGTACCTATCGACCTAAACATCCAAGAGGTTCGGGCAGTTTTGGGTTTACCAGGATATGATCTCCGGCCGCCGTTTCGCGAACGAGCAGTACGTACCGTTGCCGTACCCGAAGACGCAGTTGATTTAGATCATGCTGACGTAGAAGATGACAGAGCGGACGACTTCGACGAAGACATAGAAGAAGACGGAGTAGACGATGATGGAAGGCAAGCTGTAGTATAACTTATCTAGTACTATCTGCTCTATCGTCAAATACATACCTAACTAAATCTATTGAATATCCGCATTTTCGATACAAATTTTTACCTATAGAATCGTTAGAACGAGTGCAATCTCGTAATGCAACCTCTAATACGGCCTCGGGGTTAGTTTGGAATGCCATGTTGGCGTGGTTGATGATCCACCGCTTGAGTAGAGAGAATGACACCTCTATAGGATTTAATTGTGGGCAATACGGAGGTAGAAAGAAGAGTAGAGCACCCGTTGAGTGTACTAATTCCTCCAGTTCACGATACATGTGTATCTTTGCGTTATCAAGAACTACAATGCTTCTAGGAAGAGGCCACCGATTTAAAAATGGTGCAATCTTTTCACTAAAAGCCTTGTGGAACTCTCTGCGCGAGAACGTCCCCCTCGTCATTTCCCAAGCAAAAAACCCTGTTGTATCCATTGCAGCCAGCACGGAGACACGCTCACCCCGTCTAAACGGCAGGTCCACCACGGCAGGGGTACCCCTCGGCGACCACGCGTACCGACGCATACAGTCACGACCGGCTTTCGCTGTCTCGTCCAAGAAGACGAGCTGCTCTGGTCCATTGTAAAATGGAAGTAGCTTATTGTAGTACACCGCAATTTCCGCCGGAGCTGCCTCCCTTGCCCGTTTGCTGAGCACCTTGCGCGTGAGGTGCAGGTCGAAGCGGAGGGCTCTACAAATAGTAGCTTCGGATGTATTTCTCAGTGTAGGGAAGCGAGCTCTCAGTGCTGACCGCAGCTCGTCGATGTAGAAACACGGGTGAGACTGAGCATATTTACGAACAAATTGGCACACGTTTTGCGGCCATCTTGACGTGCGTTGCTTCCGACCCTTTCCTTCGACAGTACCTCGATTGAGAAACCACCCATACCACCTCTCTATGGACCTTTTCGATACACCGAGAATGCTTGCAACATGCGCGATATCAACGTCGTAAACATGTATCAATGATACCGCCCGCCAACGAAGATCACTTGACTTGGTCATGCTTGTCAGAGCCTTGAGCAGTTGATATCAGAGACTTTAATGAGTTTAGACAGCGAATGGCGGTTCGAATGTCCGCCATTCGTTATTATCTGAGCCCAACTCGTCCTCAAAGTCGTCAACCCCCTTAAATATGTTACTCGTCAAGTGACTAAATCGCTGTTCCAACTTTGATAAGTCGTTGAGATAAGCAAGGTTTCCGCCAAAATGCATGAAACGTACAATAAACCGTCTTTTACAAATGCTAAAGATAAAAATTCATTTGTGTTGCAACACAAAAATAGGACCCTCCTCCTCCTCCTCCAAAGTTTAAACTTTTTAAAGGAAGTGGTTCTTCAAGTTTGCTCTTGCGAAAGTTGCATAACGCAATACGAAGCACGCCGCGGCGGCTAGATCCGCTGCGGTGCCAGTACTCGGGGACGTGCCACAAAGATAGAGCGTCACTGGCTGTGTGATTGGCATCGGAAGCGGCAGACCGAAAGAAAGCAGACAGTGGTGCTGAGGGAAAAATTTAAGCTGCTTGAATAGTTCTTTATCAGCAACTCCATCTTCAGAGCAAAACGGAGTGAAGTACATGTATTAGAATTGCCGTGTAGCAACTTATGAGGTATACGTGTAATTAATAGCGAAACCACTGGGATTTTATAATAGCCAATAGACACCGGGTGTGACGTGTGAGCGGATTGTGTAGCTCACAATCCGGTACACAGTGTATTCATGCGCCGTTTGATTTACTGAGAGATTGAAAAACGAACGCCATTTGGTAATGAACCATGTCGCGTCCGAGCTTATAGTCCTTTTGAAAGACGCTGCTGACAGCTTGCTGGGTGAGACGCTCCACGTCTATCAGCTGGATGCTCGTCGACGTCACAGAACGAACGAGTCGAGCTTATCGCGGGTTGCCATAACGTCTTCCAGTCTCTCTGACGTGGTGTGTCTTGTTTAAAGCGCATCAAAGCTTAAGTTCATAGACGGCTCGCTGTACCTACTGCAGAGAACGTGTTCGATCTACTGCTGGATCCTCGCACAAAGTTTTCGGTCCGTGAGCTGCCAGGGGTTAGCGTTTCTATTGCAAACACGCCGGGCCCCAAAGCGGTCGAGTCTGATTGAAGGATCTCACAAACTTCACCGACGGAATCAGAGTCGTGCAGGTAAATGTCTCCGCTGTAACCACAGCAGCATCGATGACAACTGATTAAAGCTGCAATTAAAGCAGGACATCTCCTGCTTAAGCGAGCTACCAGAGATGTGTTCAGGTCAATCCACGCCTGCGATTCGTCACAACACCCACCGGAAACCTCCGGTGCTTTTGACTGTGTGCCGTCTTCAACCTCGCAGCGTGTAATCTATGAAGCTCCAGTGTCTAAGACGCTCCAACCAAGCGTCGGCAATGCCTCCATTGACGACCAAGCTGATTTTGTCCTCAACAAATGGCTCGCACCCACGGTCAATTGGTACGAAGTCGAGAAGCGCCAACGTCTAATAACACACCGCGTTCCCAAGAGCAGGGTATCGCAGACGACGGCGCTCGAATGCGCTTGCTCTGTGCTCCAGGTGGGGACTCAGAGATTGTCGAAACTCTCAGGCACTTCGCAAGAACATTGATGTTTGCCAATGATATGGCGACACGGGGACAGAAGCCTTTCCGTCCGTCTAAGCCTTAGCACGAGTGTGGTTTGGAAGAAGTCCATCCAATTCTTTCGTATTTTCCACGGGTGGAGTTATCATGAGCGGTATCAGGACCAGGACGGAGAACCAAAGGGCGGAGAAGCAAGTGCTTTTGAGGCACAACAATCGCGAGATTCAGCTATTGGTGGATTCGAACTTGGCGGAACAAAGTGGGGCTGAGCTACTCTGCAGCGGTGCAGTGAACTCGGTGGTCAACTTGGAAAGTACTGTCTAAAGTACTGATAGTACTATTATAAGTAAATCCGCGAGCTCGGATTCCTCCTACTTATTACTCGGTATATAAATGTGTGGATACCTGGTAGCACTAGCTGCAAAGCGCAAAAACTGACATTACTGGCAATCCCTGCTTCTTACGAACTGCGAATTTGGCCTAATGTTGCAGTACGACAAAAACGTTCATCGCCCTAAGTTGCTAAACTGCCAAACATCGCTGATTGCGCAATTTTGCTGAGGTAAGCGTAAGGTTGCATGACGGCAAACTTTCCGCGGCCATCAGAACGAGCATGAACTGCAAGTTTTGTAAAATTTCGCTTATAAACCTACGAATTCCAAAAAATAACAGAATCCCTTCCAAATATAAGCACACATTCATGGTGTTATTTACTTGCTGGTCGCTGTGACAAAAATACAGCGAATAGCACGCTGACTCAAGCTTTCGAATAACGGTATTTATGTTTCTTACGTCTGTCTCGCTCACTCCAAATTATACGACTTAATACACTCAGTCCGAATTTTATAGTGCCATCACCCCGCGGATAATTTAGTTACTATTACAAAGGCGTGCTGTGCCCGAAGAAGCTCTGAAATTTATCCATGCTACGCTTTGAGCTGCACGCTTTCTAGAATTCATCAAAATTACGTACAATCAAGCAGCCTAGCACAAAAGAGAGAGAAGAAGTGTCTAATCCTGATCCTAACACATAAGCTCAGTGCTTTTACTAGCATACGGTACTAACAAATGAAGCACTAGGAGCTTCGAAGATTAAGATTTCCTGTAGTATATATTGTGCGTTCTACTCCAAATTTCCGAAGCGAGCCAACTGAACCGCTCCAGCCCAATCACCGAACAGTCGCACAAACTATCTAATGTGATATTACAGCTCATAGCAGGTTTTAGGTAGCGTACCGCAGCTGACCAACATTCCATAAAATC